GGCGCCGCCGTGGCTGTCGACTGGGTCTCGGGCGACGCCCGCCGCTTGCCCCCCGATTCTCCACTTCTCATCTTGCTGGTCCGTTATAACCAAAAAACTAAAAACTAATTAAAAAATCGTTTTTTTTTTTAATTTGAACTAAATGGGGTTTGTTATTTGTGGTTGTGCAGCCTGGCTTGACCGGAGGTAGTGAGGATGCTTACGTGAGACACATGTTGGTCAGAGCTCGAAGCAATGGATGGCGTGTTGTCGTCTTCAACAGTCGCGGTTGTGGAGATAGCCCTGTTACTACTCCTCAGGTCAATATTGTTGTAACTATATGATACTAAATGGTCTTGAATTTGGAAGGTGATTTTATATTAGTCTTGGAAGATAACAATAGTTTAGAATTCAAAAATGCATGACTAAAATGATCATATGATATATATAAGGTGACAATAAGTAGTTAAGTTTAAATAATTATTTGATATTTTAGGAACTTATTTGATATCTTCTTTTAGTGTAGTTACTGATGCCTTGGTGCTTACCACTCTTAGGGACCACCAATGGCTATTTACTCTAGTTTGTTTTGAGTATGAGATGAGTGGATCTAGTATTTGTAACACTGACATTGCTAATGTACGAATACTGGTGTGCAGTTCTATTCGGCTTCATTTTTGGGAGATATGCGTGAGGTTGTTTCTCATGTCACTGGTAGATATCCCGATGCTAATGTATATGCTGCTGGTTGGTCTCTTGGGGCCAACATTCTCGTTCGTTACTTGGGTCAGGTAACATTGTTGATCATTCTTGCGTTAATTTGCTTACCCTGTAAAACAAATAAATGCTTTGAGTTAATTTAATTTTGGTCAGAGGTTTTGAAGTTTATGTCTGTTCATTTGGCTAGTGATTTGTATATGACTTGGAATCGACACTCTGTTGACTGATTTCGAAGTAATAAATCACCAATTTCACCCTGGAACTAATTTGAATATCTATCAGTTTAGTTCCTGAGTTGGTGTTTTTACCGAAGTTCAGGGACTAGTTTTTTATTTTATTTTTTATTTTATATATATAATTTATAATATTTAAGGGACTATTTAGCATGATTTTTAAAATTTAATGCTTCTAGGATTACTTATGTATTTTGTTTTATTTTAAATAAACCACCAATTTTTCCTGAATTGTTACCCTCTCTATTACATAGTTTCTAAAATAATAAATTATCCACGTAATCCTTTAAATTAAATATCCATAAGTTTAGTCCCTAAGTTGATGTATTAAAGTAAAGAGCATGGACCAGTTTGAAGGTTTTTTTTTTTTAATATTTAAGGGATTGCTCAGCATGATTTCTAATACTTCTAGAAATATATATGTATTTTATTTTACTTTTAGGACCATATAGCATAAATACTTTAAGGATCAAATTGGTGGTTTACTCGGTTTGAGATATAGTAAAGGTGGATGGATGTGTTTGTTTGATGAGATTCAACTCTCACTTTGTACCAAAAAAATGGGGGATGGACATTGAAACTGCACTTTACCCCCCACAAAGTAAATAATTAGAAGTGTGGTGGATCGCTTTTGACTTTGTCCATTAGATACTGCTTCTGCTATGTAGTTTATATTTTTCTTTTGCTACTTTCAGGAATCGCACAATTGCCCTCTTTCTGGCGCTGTCTCATTGTGTAATCCTTTCAACCTGGTTGTGGCTGATGAGGACTTCCGAAAGGGCTTTAACAATATTTATGATAAGGCCCTTACAAAGGCTCTTTGCAAAATTTTCAAAAAGTGATGCTAATTTATATGTCATTGTGATTCTTCTAGCTACTTATTAATGGATCTATTTGCTGGAAATAAGGGTATCACTAATGTCTCATTTTTCTTGAGTACAGGCATGCTTTACTCTTTGAAGATATTGGAGGTGAATTTAACATTCCACAGGCAGCCAATGCTAAGTCTGTTAGGGAGTTTGATGATGGACTGACTCGTGGTATGTGCCTCTACTTAATGGAAGCTTGATCGATAGATCACAATTGTGAATTATCTCTGCTTAGGTACTCATCTATGAGCTTCGCAGTTTCTTTTGGATTCATGTCTGTGGATGACTACTACTCTAACTCAAGCAGTTCAGATTCCATAAAACATGTTAAAACCCCTTTGCTTTGCATCCAGGTAAAAAAATTTAACTAAAAAATTAATATAATCTGTTTCTTTTAGTGTTGAAATGAAAACCCACTGCATTGTTATCCTGATTAATATTTGTCAATTATGATTTGTCATACGCATTTGTTGTCCTGATCTCTAAATAAATAAATTATTGAACTCAAGAAGCGTACTTTTTTCAGGCAGCCAATGATCCGATTGCTCCTAATAGGGGAATTCCTCGTGAAGATATCAAGGTATGCAATTTTGTCTTGGGAGTTGAGAATTAAAATTATGAAATTTACTGTTACCGTTCCATTCTGATAATACTATTTTCATTGCATTCCCTTTTAGTATTTTTAACTCTATTTTTTATTATATTCTCAATTATGTTATGCTACATGTTCAAGTTCAACCATTGCATTGTTGGGCATTGGGCTTTCATTACTGCTCTAGGTTGGGAAGATAGTACTTGTAAATTATTTGTTTAAGATTGACCAAAAATATGTTTGAATACAAGTTTAGAAGAGATCTTAAGAGTTTTAGTAGAAAAATTCTCAAAAGTTATTCTATATTGTATTCAAACAAATTTTAAATCTTATATTCTGTTTTATTCTGTTTCTATCTATCTATAAATTATTTTGACCCTTATGTTAAATATTATTACACTGCTTATGATGTCAGGAAAATCCAAACTGCTTGTTAATAGTGACACCCAAAGGTGGCCATCTAGGGTGGGTTGCTGGTGAAGCTGCTCCACGAGGCGCCCCTTGGACTGATCCTTTGGTAATAGATTTTATTCAATATTTAGAGAGAGGAGCAGTTAAGGCTCCAGAAACTTCTACCAATCCAGGAAGTAAAGAAGCCTTATACCATCTTGAAGTGTAATGTAAGGCACTATGGTAGTTATTCTTCATACATCAAATTCATGCTGGAAGCTCACCGATAAAATATATATATATATATATATATATATATATTGAAAATA